GGACGAGCGAGGAGCGGAGGAGAACGGGCTGGCGCGAGCCACCTCTGCCCGGAGACTGGCCCGGGCGGGGGTTGCGGGAGAGCGGACGTGAGGGGCGCGTGCTGTCACTTGGCGGGGCCCGCGCTCTTCTGGTCCTTAGGAGGGCTCCGGGCAGAGTCCCTCCTCACAGGCCTTTTCATCGTGCTGGGACAGCTATCCCAGCCTTCGTGATAAGTTGTCAGGTAAAGCAAAGGTCCCCAAGCCCACTTGCAGGACCGTTACCGCTCAGTGACGGGAGGTCCCCTGCAACCTCTCGGGCTGCTACTCGAGCCAGGCATTTCCTAGTTAGGAATTTCTTAGAGAAGCATTTCGCGGTTCCCCCGCGCTTCCCACCCAAGCAAGGACTTCTGAACCCAGAGGTAACTCTACCTGTATAAACCTGAATAAATAGTCAAACTTCTTACCAAGCCCTTCTCGAGTGCTCAAGGCAAGGGGCGGGGGAGGGCTTAAAAAGTCTTAGAATGATAGATAGCGTATGTGTGTTTTCTCAGATAAATCACAGGTGTTGGAATCTCTGGCCAGAGACTATTCTGCTTCCCTGACAGACCCTCTTCTTCACACCCCCCTCCCCACTTCAAGCTTAAAGCTATGAGATTGGCTTCAGTATGAAAATGTTGAATGTTTCCATGCATTTCAGAAACAGCTAATTAACTTGCTGGGGAACGCTGAATAGCTAAAAGTAGATTTGTGTCTCCTGAAGATTGTGCCTGGAATTGCCATCCTGCATACCCTACAATACAATCTGAGTAGGCCAAAAACTGCTCCATTTCCTCTTTACACAGGGGTAACAAAGCCTATTGTGTTTGAGTTGACAACCTGATTTAAGCCCTAGCAAAACCTACCCTGAGCAACTCTGCTATATTGATTCGCCTGTGGAACAGTTGCCACAGTTCACCCTCTACCTTCTAAAGTAGAGATTCTGCTTTTTTTCTTTTTTTAAGAGATTTTTGCTATAATGTGCGTGCACTCGCTAGAGAGACAGAGACAGAAAGTGAGAAGTCACCCCTCCCCCCCCATGGCTACCCCATAATCCCTTCACCTCCGTTCTCCTCCAGGATTTTGGGCACACATGCACAAGCACTGAGCGCGAGTTTCAAGCTCGGCTTTAACGAGGTCGGACATTTGAGAGTCAGCCATGTCGGAGTCCAGAGCCTTAATCACTGTGCCACCTCCAGGCCCCACTATGCTCCCTTTCTTAAAGATGCTGACTTTAAGAGTTTGTGATAGCTGTCAAAAATGAATTTGGGCTGGGGCCCAGCAGGTGGTGTGGTGGATAGAGGCACTGGATTCCCACATGGGTAACCATAGTTCGAGTCCTGGACCTGGTAGCTTGCTTTCTTGCTATCCCTTTCTTTCTTTCTCTGGTCAAATTTAAAAATTACAATAACAAATGGAATTAAATAAATAAACAATTCTTAAAAAAAAAAAAAAAAAAAACTCATATGGGCTGGTTTAGAGTTACTGGTTAAAAAGAGTTGATGAGGGAGCCAGCATGTGGTGTAGCCATTACCTTGCTAGACTTTCACATAGTCAACTGCAGTTCATGTCCTGGACTCGGTAGCTTGAAACTTAGGCTGGGTGTGTGTCTGTGCGCGTGCATGCCCAAGATCCCAGGAGGAGAATGGAGAAGAAGGGATTGTGGGCATGGCTATACCCCCTGGGGGTGATTTCTCACTTTCGCTCTCACTCTCTCTGTCTCTTTCCAGTGAGTATGCTCCCTAAGGCAAAAAAAGAAAAAGTTGGTGAGTATGGATGGTGAATGTTGAGCTAAGAAAACTTCGCCAGGACTTTGCTTTCTCACATTTCTGAAATCCAAATGTGATCTAGAAGCCAGATCAACTTTGGGTCAGAACTTAATAATTTTAATCTCCTGAATCATCCCTCCAGGTGAAGATACTGGAAGATCCATTCTTAATTTAGGATTGGCTTCTGGCATCTACTCTACCATATCTGAAAGTCAAAAAACTTGGGTTCGGGAACCAGCAGTTAGTAATGACTGTGTCGCTGTATTCCCATGTAGTCGACCCTGGTTCGAGTCCCAGACCTGGTGGCTTAAACTCACGCTGGCGCGTATGCGTGCGTGCCCAAGATCCCGAGGAGAATGGAGGAGAAGGGATTGTGGTGTGGCCATCCCCCCTGGGGGTGATTTCTCCCTTTCTGTCTCTCTGTCTCTCTGTCTCTCTCTGTCTATTGGGTTCAGTAATTTAAAAGGCAAAAATTAATCAAGGGCAAGTTGATTTATTTTTGTTCACAGGTATCCCTGTGTATTCCCAAACAAAATGAAGGTGAAGAGAGGAAGTATGGAAAACATAATGACTTTCAGATTTCCACGGCAGGTATTGCCTGGACTGCTTTCCATCATTTGGCAGTAGGGTTTTAATTACTAATATCCAGAGTGATCAGACAGGCTTTTCCCACAGCTAAGACTTTGGAGGATGTGGTGACGAAATATTGTAAAGACTGACACATGGAATAAAGCTGTGCTTCAGAATTACCACCCAAAATTGTATGTTCCAACTCTCCAAAGTAAATAGGCTTCTGAATAGGAGACCTCTAAAAAAAAATAACAGTAATGCAGGCAGTAATGATGAATCAAGGGAAAGCATACTTCCCTTAGATGGGCTTGAACCAGTGCCCTACCATGGCGGGAAGTGCCTGTCAGATGATATTGACCTGACTTTCTTTCACTTGAGAAATAAAAGTGAGGTTCTGATTGTCTGACACCAAACCGCCTCAGGCTCTTTGGCAAAGGTAGAAAATGTTAGCTCTGGTGTCCTGGACCACTTCCATCCTGGAGAATTATATTTGGCCTGGGCGTGGATTAAATTCAGCTCTAAGAGCTCAAACTCATGGGTCACAACCTGCTACTTTGGGAGCTGCATTTTTGCTGCATTTTTTTTTTACTTTGCTACCCCCCCTTGGTTTTTTTGTTTTGTTTTGTTTTTTAATTTGAAGTGGTCAAGTAAATCACAAAATCTGCTTGTCTTCATTTATATATCTGTGAAATAGGAGATTGCCTTCGGATTTATGCAAGCTGCTTAGCTTATTGTGAAACACTCTGAGAATGAAAAAAAAAAAAGCCACGTAAGTATTTAAAATTAATAGTACCTTTTTCTAACTTCAAATGAATATGTTGTCCTTCACCCTTCAACCTGGTATGGTTTTGCTATGAAACTGTTCAAATATGCTCCATCTCCCCTTTTATTTCAGAGATGGATGAAATATTTCTTCTGTGCTCTGAATATAGGGTATGATCTCAGAGTTCTCTGTGCCAGCAGAATCAGCCTGGAGCTCAGCCAGAAGTTCTTCGTGATTAAAGGTGCCATCTGAGCACGCAATATTTTTTTAAAAGCCTTGCAAAATGGAAACGTACTTCTTTTCTTTTTAAGGTCACTGGTTTTAACACTACGGCTGACTTTTAGCCTTTGAGATACCACTGGCTTCAATAGCCTTCTTCTTTTTTCTCTTTTGTCATGTTTCCTTGACCACTTACCTTGTAATAAGGCCCAGTCCATGCAGCTAAATAAATTCACCTAATAAATGGGGCTCCCAGAAAGCACTATAAATTATCAGTTGCTGATATCAGGACCTTCCTAACCACATGCCTGGTAAGTCAGAGATATATCAAGTTTTAATGGAAAAGTTTGCCTTTACAATATAAAAAGTGCAAGGTTAGTGGATCTTCCGAAGAGACATCTCACCTGGGAATTGATAGTCACCTTTTGAGATGGCAGTATTTTCCATTCTTTTCCACATGGCATTCCTTTTATTTGGGATTTGCAACATTTTAGCTCTCCTCATCTTTCTGGGCGTTTGAATACTCATAGTAAAGCTGATCATATCGTTCTAAGGCACTGAGAAATTATCATAGTAAATGAATGAGCAGACATCATAGAAGTGGCATTCCTCCAGATGTTCCTAAATTCCATGGCTTAGGGGGCAATATCTGAGGTTTCCTCAAATGTTCCAGCACACTTTGTAGATCTACTCTGCTTTAGTCTCCCCACATTGGATCCTCCTTCGGTTTTGGGGTGACCAAAGAAGCAGATCTGTCTCTAACCAGACATGCTCCCCCTCTTTTTGTCTGCCCTTCCAGCAACACGGGGACCAACTGGATGATCTGTACACCACTGCTGCAAACTTCCCCTCCAAGAAGGCAACAGATATCAGCTCAGCTCGCACCAGGAGACAGAGCAAATAAGATCCAAATGACAGGAACAATAATCCAGGCTGGTTCACAGGGCAGGGCACAAACAGGGCAGGCATCTGGTGAGCTCTGTTACCTCATTTAATCTCCATAACCCTGGGGAGAATGGTTGTATTTTTATTCTCATTTTACAGGCGAGGACATTGAGACTCAGAGCAATGAGGTGACTTGCTCAAAGTCATGCAGCCACCTAGTTACAAAGTCATGGTTTAGAGCGCTGTGTCCTACCAGTTCGTTGTCTATCCCATTATGCCACACAGCTTCTCTCTCCCTTTTATTCACATATTTATCTATTTATTTTGAGAGAGAGGCACCACCCCCAACAGAGTCTTCAGGCTGCAATCCACCCTCAGCCTCAGCTACCCCAGATCAAGGGCACCTTTGCACACCCAGAGTGTACTGGGAGACTTCAGTACAAACCCTGGACCTTCCCATGTGGGTTGAGTGTCACTGAGTGTTGCATTACCACGGCACCAATGGACTAGTCCTGTCATGAATGTTTATTGATGCTTCCGAACACTGGGGCTACAAAAATTACTAAGATCACGTCCCTAACACAGTCAAAAATCTGAAAAGGAGGGACCAACAAAGGAATAAATAATTACAGGCACATGATAAGTGCTATAATAGAGACACTGATGAAGTGCTGTGGGAACCCGAAAGACACTGATGATCTCTGCCCACATTGAGGTAAGAAGAGGCCCCCTGGGGCTGGCAGGTGGTGAAGTGGTTGGGGCACTGGACTTCCACATGGCTGTTCTCAGTTGGAGTCCTGGACATGGCGGCTTGCTTTCTTATTTTCCCTTACTCTCTTTGTCTCTCTCTGGTCAAATTTAAAAAATAATAATAATAGGGGCCAGCAGGTGGTGTGATAGTTAAGGCACTGGACTCCCACATGGTTGACTGCAGTTCGAGTTCCTGACCTCATGGCTTGCTTTCTCACCCCACCCCTGTCTTTCCGTGGTCAAATTTAAAAATAGTAATAATATGGTACTGACAGGTGGTGTGGTGGTTAAGGACACTGGACTCCCACATGGCTGACTGCGGTTCAAGTCCCAGAACTGGCAGCTTGCTTTCTCACTTTGTCTCTTGCTCTGTCTCTCTCTCTGGTCAAATTAAAAATAAATAAATAAATAAAGTTAAATAAAATAATTCTTTAAATAATAATAAATAAAAAAATTTCTTTTTCTTTTTTAGAGGGCTCCTAAAGGAGTTGACTTGGGGCCAGCAGGTGGCATAGTGATTAAGATTCTGGACTCCCATATAGCTGACTGCTGTTGTAGTCCCAGATCTGGCGACTTGAAACTCACATCAGGTACATATGTGAGTGCCCAAAATCCCAAGAGGAGAATGGAGGACAAGGGCTTACAGCATGGCCATCCCCCCCTTCTCTCTCTTTGTCTCCAGTGAGTGCATGCACCCTATAGCAAAAATCTCTCTTAAAAAAAAAAAAAAAGATGACATTTGGGCTGCCCCAAACTTGTGTGCACCTGCTTTAGACATGTGATTTCCTTACTTTTCAGTTTCCCTGATCCATATGATTAACTTCAAACCTGAAAAAGTTTTATTGAAAATAGACCCAAAGATCAGATCACCAAAGAGTCCATCATCTTTTAAATTAAACTACAGGGGCTGGCAGGTGGCATGATGGTTAAGGGCTCTGAATTCCCACATGTCCGATCATGGTTTGAGTCCCAGACTTGGTGGCTTCCTTTCTCACTTTCTTTCTCTCTCTCACTCTAGTCAAATTAAAATAAATAAATAAAGTTAAATAATTCTTTTAAAAAATCAATCAATCAAACTACAGTAGCCTCCTCACAATCCTCCTGGATTACCTTGTCTAGTACATACCCCACACAGCTGGAGCGGTCACTTTAAATTAAAAAATCTGAATTTGTCACTCCTTTGCTTAAACACTGAAGTAATTCCTTTTGCCTTTAGGATAAGGGTTATGTCTCCTAGCCTAGAATTCAAGGCTTTCATGATCTAGCCACTGCCTACCTCTTCAATCTCTTACACACTCGGTTTTTCCTGTCACTCCTAAGAACTAGGTATATTGGAGTACTTAGAGTTCTCAGAAATTTCTGTACCACACAGCACCTTCCACTATAAACCACCAAACTCCTACTTCCCTGCATGCGATCCTCAGAGATTATGCTCACACAGCCCCCTGTGCTGGTCTCTGTATAGTCCATCACATACTATGTCCAAAGTGTCTGTTTCCAAGTCTATTTCTCTCCCACTACTCTTTATTTTTTTAGATTTTTTTTTTTTTTAACCATAGGGTTTATGCACTTGCCCGAGAGACAGAAAGCAAGAAGTCATCTCCCTAGGGGAATGGCCGTGCTGCAATTCCTTCTCCTCCACGCCATTCTTCTCTTGGGATTTTGGGCATGCACATGTGTCCAGTGTGAGTTTCAAGCCACGGATCTGGGACTCCAACTATAGTTGGCCTCAGGAGAGTTGAGCGCCTTAACCACTACGCCACCTGCTGGCCCCTCTCTCACCACTCTTAACAGTTCCTCACAGGTGTGCAATCATCAGTGCCCAGCATAGGATCTGGCACACAGTGGCTAGCCAGTAAATGTTCTTTAAGTGAATAAGCAAAAGTCACAAGTGAACTCTTGAAGAAGGCTCTGGGGCAATCAGGTTCAGGTTACCTTCCTAATCTTTTCTATAGGTCCTCAGTTGACTCCCGTTTATTTAAAAGGACCAAGAGAAAAGGAAAGAAATAATAATAGTACAATTCTTTGGTTACAGGAACCAGGAGGGGCAGACCAAAGCTGACTGCCCCTAGGGTCTTTACCACAGACACTGTTCCGCTGCCCTTTTATTTTATCAGCTGTGAATTGTTTGCAAACTTCCAAGGAGTTTGTAGGAAATTCAGGAAAATTCAACAGTAAAAAGAAAAACTGGTTTCATTTTTCAGCCCAGCTCATTTCTTCTTTTTTTTTTTTTTTGCAGACTCACATCATTTTATTTTGCTCTTTCCAGTTTGAAGCTACAAAAATATGGACCGCTTCACAAATTTGCGTGTCATCCTTGCACAGGGGCCATGCTAATCTTCTCTGTATCATTCCAATTTTAGTCTATGTGCTGCCGAAGTGAGCGCAACCCAGCTCATTTCTGAAATGTAATGCCACGTAGTAAAGTATTCTCATGTCCCATGGTCATTATTTCAATAGTTTTAAGCAATGTGTAGTCGTGCCTCCTTTCTGGAATATATAATTACCCTGTCATTCTATGGGTTTCAAATCAAAAACTTGTTGTATTGTTAAAGAATAAAATCAGTCCAGCTCCTTTGTTGGATAAATTCAGTTTTTAAAAAACGGCATTTTTCTTTACTTTGAACAATAAAATCTCAAGCATCTTTTAGAAATTGTTTACATGGGGACAGCTTGTGCTGTGGTGGCTAAGACAACTGGATCCCACGTGGCCAACTACACAGTCTGAGTCCTGGACCCAGCAGCTTGGAAAATCTACCAGGCACATGGGTGTACGTACTCAAAAGCCCAAGAGGAGAATGGAGGAGAAGGGACTGTGGCATGGCCAAGACCCCTGAGGGGTGCCTTCTTGTTATCCTTCTCATTCCCTCTCTCTCCCTCTCTGTCTGATTATCACTGGCGAATGCACACATGCTGCCAGTAGCAAATTTTATAAAACAAAAAAAATGGTTTATATGAGGGAACTTCAGAAAGTTCATGGAAAATGGAATTGAGGTACAGGTTTATTTTCGTGCAAAAATTGAAATCCATGTATACTTTTAAAAAAATTATTTATTTTATTTATTATTATTATCATTATTATTTTTAATTTGTGGAACCAGCAGTTGGTGAAATGGTTACATTGCTGGACTCCCACATAGTCCACCATGGTTTGAATCCCACACCTGGCAGCTTAAAACTCACAGTGGGCACGTATGCATCCATGCCCAAGATCCTGAGAGGAGAATGGAGAAGGGATTGAGGTGTGGCCATCTCCATGTGGGTGATTTCTCTCTTTCTGTCTCTGTCTCTCCTGTGAGTGCACGCACCCTGTAGAAAAGTCTCTGAAAAAAAAAATTTGCTATAGGGCATGTGTACTCACCAGAGAGAGACAGAGAATGGAAAGTGAGTGAGAAAGCAAGTCACCAGGTCCAGGACTCAAACCATGATTATCCACATAGGAGTCCAGAGCCTTAACCACCATGCCACCTGATGGTTTCATCCATGTAGAGTTTTTACATAATATGCATTTTCCTGTGAACTTCTTGAAGACCTCTTGTTTAAGCTATGTATTAAAATAGAAAGCCTTCTGCAGCCTCCTCCAATATCTCTATAGAACTATCATCCTTGAAATCTGGGAAAATGGTGCAACTTCTAGGACTTAAAGGTCACCACTTGAGTAAGAAAAGTACAAGAAGCATAAAATGTAAAAGGACTGGTCATTCATGTCTTCATGTCTAAGCATTGAATGAAAAATGAGTAGTGATTTTCTTCTAGTTCAAGGATTAAGACTGTCTTGTGGGGACCAGCAGCTAGCATAATGGTTATGTCACTGAACTCCCTTGTAGTCAGTCGATTGCGGTTCGAGTCCTGGACATGGTGGCATAAAGTTCATGCCGGGTGTGTGTGCGTGTGTCCGCAAGATCCCAAGAGGAGAATGCTTTCTGTCTCTCTGTCTCTCTCTTCTGGTGAGCACACAAAAATCTCTCTCTCAAAAAAAAAAAAAAAAGACTGTCTTGTGTTCTGCTTATCTTATACTTCATATAAAGAAGGCAGTCAGTGAGTTCAACTATTGTTATTCAAACTTTATCAGGCTCCTACTTGTCCCAACTAAGTGCCCATGTGTAAAATTCTAAATTATATCATTTTAGTGGCAAGGCTCCTAAGGTTGTGAGAGTATATGTTCAAAAGCAATTTATTTTCAGGAACCAGCAGTTAGCGTAATGGCTATGTCGCTGGACTCCCACATAGTCGACCACGGTTCGCGTCCCGGACCCGGTGGCTTAAAACTCACGCCGGACGCGTGTGCGTGCATGCCCAAGATTCTGAGAGGAGAATGGAGGAGAAGGGATTGCGGCGTGACCATCCCCCCTGGGGGGGTGATTTCTTGCTTTCTGTCTCTAATGTCTCTCTCTGTCTGTCTGGCAAGCGCACGCGCCCTATAGTGAAAATCTCTCAAAAAAAAAAAAAACAATTTATTTTCATACTGTTAGCCAAAAAATGTAATTGGTCATTATATATATCAAATAGGTAACATGACAAATGCACTTAAAGTAGATTTATTAAGTGTTAGTGGTAAAAGGAAAGACAGCCCCAAATGACAAGCTCCCTCAGTTCAGTTCAACAGAGTCCCTCCCATGGGCTGGGTCTTATGCTGAGAAAGATACTATTTCTTTCTCTTTTTTTAAAAAAAATAATTATTTATTTTATTTTATTTATTCATTCATTTATTTTTTGGTTTGACCAGAGAGAGACAGAGGGTAACAGTGAGAAAGAAAGGAAGTGAGAAAGTAAGCCACCAGATTCAGGACTTGAACCCTGGTTGGCCATGTGGGAGTGTCCAGAGCCTTAACCACCACATCACCTGCTGGTCCCAGAGAAAGATACTATTTCTACCCGTAGGTGAGTCCACCATCTAGTGTGAGAGACTAAGGTGAACAAGCAGTAACAGTTTTACTCACCCTGTGCTTTTAAACTAAATCACTCTCCCTGAGGTCCTAAGATCAGAGCAAGATAGTACCCTTTGTTTGCCCTCTGCATCTTTCTGTTTCTGACCTGTCTCTGACTGCTGAGTCTTAAGCTCACACTCTTCACCAGCTGTCCTTGCAGCATTGATGTCTGGCTGTGTTCCCTAACCGCAACTGAGACCCGCCCCTTGGATCTTGTCTTCTTCCCTAACAATGAAGGAATCAAGCCCAGTATCCCACTCTGACAAAAGACCTGTGGTTGGTACTTCTGCTGGGTTCTTCCAGAATCTACAAACAAGAACTGGGCAATATCTATCACTCTCATGGAGTGCTCCCTACCTGATAAACCACTGTCTCCAATCTCTCCCCCTTCCCTTTTCTTTTTTTTCCCCAAGCATAGACATTGGGGAAAAATAATTACCACCTAATAGTGAATTGGATAATGGCTCCCAAAAAAGATATGTCAGTGTCTTAAGTCCTGGAAATTCTGAATATGACTTCATTTAGAACAAGAGTCATTGCAGATATAATTGAATTAAAGCTCTTGAGAAGAGATCTGGCTAGATTTAATGTGGGACCTAGATCCAATAACAAATGTCCTTATAAAGGAAATTTGGAGAGAGATTTGAGAAACAGACACAGATGGGAAGGCAATCTGAAGAAGACAGCAAAGATTGGAGTGATGCATCTACAAGCCAAGAAACACCAAAAATTACCTGTAACAACCAGACACTGGGAAACAGATGTGGAGTAGTTTCTTGCTCAGAATCTCCAAAAGGAATCAATCCTACCAACATCTTGATTTTTGGACTTCTGGCCTCCAAAATCATAAGAAAATTAATTTCTGTTGTTTTAAGTTTCCCAACTTGTGGTAATTTGTTACAGCAGCTCTAGAAGCTAATACAAGCACCATAATTTAATTTCTGGAGGCCTTGAAATAGTGCCTGAGAGAGGACTTCTTGGTGAATCCTAATGCCTATCAAGTGGGCCCCAAGCAGGCGGTAACCTTTTTCATGGATTCTACCATCAGTAGTAAATTATTTTGGTCAATCACTATGACTTTTCTCTCCCTCTTTCAGCTATGCATTATACCTCTGATGAGAGATTTTTGAGCTTTATAGGTAGCCCCAAATCCTAAAATAGTACTTTATTTCATTCTTGCATCTTCTGACTCCATCCTCAATGTTATATCAGAGTTCATGGGCCCTGACTCCCATCTGATTTGGGAGTCCTCCAAAATATAAAGGGTGTTCAGATGCTAGATAGCCAAAAATGTCCAATGTGCTCTACAATCCCATTAATCAGGTCTTGAAACTGGCTCCATTAGAGGAGGTTCTGGTTTTCTTCCTCAGGAATCTTTGAGTATTTCCTTCTTAGACAACACACCCATCTTTCCCAACACACACACACATGTGACTTGGATCTTGCCCTTCACTCCATTCTCCAACTTTATACTCACAATGGGGTAGTCATGTTCTGCCCTGGACCACACAGTCAAATACCACCACAAGCATGGTATCCAAGACAAGGAGGAGCTTCCTACCAGACTTGCCTCAGAGCCTCACTTAGTATCCTGTAATAATACCTAGTGAAGAGACAGAGCAGCACATTCAGGAACCTATAGTGGCCAGTTACCAGAAGCTACCTGCCTAGCTCTGGGAACCATGGGCAAGTGAGGGTTAGTGTAGCATGTGACACACCAGCTCTGTTAGAACTGACCTAAAATTTCCCACTGTTGAGGCAGGAGCAGTGATTTTTGGCTGTTTCATTTTGTTTTAATAATGTGGTACTTCACTATTAGGTAATCTTGCACTAACAAAACAATACACTTTCTCTCTTCGTCATTTTTCTAACATAGTACCTTATGCCGTTGCCCTCAAAACTGACAACTGTGTAAGTCAGCAATTGCTAGCACAAGCCTGAATCAAGGAGCTCACCAAAGTTACCAAGGCCTTGAATCTCCAAAGAGATTCAAAAGAACTAGGGAATTGACTTCCTTCTGGATTTTAAGCTGACTAATGAATTGTGTCTGTCCTGATAATGCCATATTAGCACACTAAAGGACTTTGCAGTCCCTGAAGAATTCTTTGTAAATATTATGAATGTTTATAGTTTTCTATATTTGATGAAGTGGGCTCAGCTGTTAATAATGGAGACCTTGTGGCCTGAGCTTATTTCCTGTGTGATATTACATGTTGTCACGTTTTAGTGAGATTGGGCAAAATTATTGGAAGAGTAAAAGGACAACTTCACGTTCCAGTCTCCCGTATAATCCAATAGCACTGCAGTATTAGCATGGTTTTTCAGTTGCAAGCAACAGAAAACTAGCCTAGACCAAATTAAGATGTAGTCTCACTTGGGACCAGCAGTTATTGTAATGGCTATGTCCCTGGATTCCCATGTAGTTGACCGCGGTTCGTATCCCGGACCTTGTGGCTTAAAACTCACACCAGGCACGGGTGCGTGCGTGCTCAAGATCCTAAGAGGAGAATGGAGGAGAAGGGATTGCGGAGTGGCCATCCCCCCTGGGGGGTGATCTCTTGCTTTCTGTCTCTCTGTCTCTCTGTGTCTGTCTGGTGAGAACACACGCCCTATAGCAAAAA